TCTACTGTTCCGATTTAAGTCACAAAACTTTCCTCTTTGTTTTCCATAAGTTGCAAATTGGAAAAAAAACCACAATCCCTCCCCACCTCCCAAAAAAAGTTCGTATTTGCTGGTTTAGGCCAATACCAACTCCATAAAACACTTATTTAACTCTCTGTTACTGAGCAGTTTTGTTGTCACAAAACTGACAGCCAAATCATGCCCAAATTTAGGTTTTCACAAAATCAAAGTAAGTTTCACATGAACATATGAGAATTTTGTTTCTTCATAAAGAAAAGATGATCAGTAAACTATATTAAGGATTTTGAGGCCTGCACATTTACCCTTGCATTTCAATAATAATAAGAAAGAAAGCATTGGAATGCATCAAGGTTCTGGAAAAATAATTATTCTGGCAATGATTCATATGCATCTTGAAGAGATGCATATTTTTATACATGTAAATGTATCAAAATATTTTTAGTCACTTTCATATATATGTTCAAATGTGCATGTATAATCTTGTAAATAGTGTAAGTAATGAGATTGTAATTAGTGAATAGGAATTTTATTTTCATATCATTTCCACTGTGATGTCAAATGTAGTTATTCAGAAATCCACTGTTTGAATAGTTGCAATATCTTAATAAAAGGCTTTCAGATTTTTTTGCCACCATGATCATAAAAGTCCCTGGCTGTTCCTTATGTTGCAGCCTGACTTCCAGGAAATGGACTTTGTAGAAACCCTAATTTTACCTAGCAACATCAGTGTTCAGTGGACGCCTTTAAGGACCCTTGGTCTCACTGGAAGACTCTTGAAATCAGTTTCTTTGAGCATCAGGGCAAACAGCTGTTCTTTTCATAATAATAGAAATGGAAAGAATATTTATTTCAAATTGTTTGAGGTTTCTGGAAAACAATATTTTCAAAATTATTTTGAAAAAAAATTCCTAATTCTTAATTTGAAACAAATGTATTTCACTTGTGGAAGAGGAAGATCCTGCATTCTCTGGGTTTTTGTGGTTGGGAGCACTTGTTTACAAGAGGAAAGTAGGTTCGGCACATCTGTTTGTCTTCCTTTTCCTCTTTGTGTATCTTACCTCTCTGCAGTCCCAATCTGCCACAACTGCTGACCTACAGCTAGCAAGATCAATGCCACAATTATTTTAATCTATAGAAATCTACAAAAAGCTTACTAAGTGAATGTGTAGACTTTCCATTGGTTTTATAATTGCAAAACTATTTTTTTTCATAATAGGATTCCTATGCTCACTGAAAAAAAGGGTACAACAATGTGTGTTGGCAAGGCTATCATATATGAAAGTTAAATACTGGAAGTGTTAAAGTATTTCTTTACCACCGAATGTAAAAATGCCAATAAAGAGGAAATGAGTACCTGTTTTACATGTACGACCTCTAGGTGACAGCATATTTTTAATCTCCTGTTTTGAATACAAATTCCAAATTGGTAGAAGTTCATATCAGTTGTTTAACTAAGTAGCATGGGTTGGATATAATGCTTAAATAGACACAAAGCACATAAATTATTCACTTCTGCACAGGGGAATGTTCTATTTCCTTCTATTTTAAGAAATACTTTCCACTATTTAACAGAGCAAAATTAACATAGATAAATTATATGGCATGTGAGGAGGAGGGATATGCAAGAGGTGAATATAAAATATTGCTTAAAACCCAAAAAGAAACACTTGGGTTAATTTTTTTAATTGTTTTTCTCTAATACAATCTAGGTCAGCTTGTAAATGGAAAATACCAAATAAAGAAAAATGTTTCTGCATTTCTGATGAGAAATATTTTAATACCTTCAAAGGAACATATTCATGATATTTTAAAAGTTTCCTTTTTTGGAATAATTCTTTAATTATTTCAATTCAAATTCGTATTGCTTTGATCTTATGAAATTTATCTTTTTTCTCAAATTAACCAGTGATAATTAAAAAGAAAAAGCCCTTCTCTGCTGTGGATAGGATCATCTGTCTCCATCTCATATATCAAATTGACTGATTATATTATTTAAAAACCTCTTTTAAAAAGCCTCTTTGTCTTTCCTACAGTTTTGTAGTTTCTGTCTAATAATAGCAATAGTTACCTTCTCCTTCAGAGCATTTTGCTGATCGGGAAAGCAAAATTAATTATATGAATAGGATTCACTCATAGATGTAAATGCCACTGTGACAGGCCATCAGTAAATCTCAAAGGAAAGCAAATTCTCCATATGCTATTGTAATAATGAGCTTTTCCCTGGAGGGATGAGTATTACAATGTGAAGTGTTACAATAGGTTTATAGTAGAGATTAATGCTTTCAGAAATATGGCAAAGAAAAATATTATAAAGAAGCTGCATATCAAACCTAATTTATCTCAAAACATTGAGGAAATAATCTATGTGTATAGACTTTTGTATTTCTAGTAGCATGCTGCAGATTGTAGCTAAGTCACTTTTCAGATGCAGATCAAACAGAGAATAATAATAAAGTAAATTAGAACTGTAAAACAGATTTAGGCATTCATTTTTACAATTGATGGGTGGTGTTTTAAAATCTACCCTGATGATCATCAGTCATTCTTTCACATTTCTACCACATTATTTAATTTCAGGAGATTGAAAAAAGTCTATTTTCTGAAAAATAAATTTCTTGTCTGTGGTATGTGTAGAAGGCTGATATTACCAACTTATCAAGTGAAGGAATTAATTGCCCAAATATCTTAATTTTAGACAAATGGCAAGTCATTAATATTAATGTAGTTCATGAAAAACTATGATGAAACTAGACTAAACAACTCTGAACTATGGACTCACTGTCTTAGGTTTTTGAAAAAAAAAAGAAAAAAAAAGTTTATTCTTCAAAGAAAACCACAGTTTCTTGATGGATATTCCTAAATAGATTTTTACTGTCCACCCACTGAAAAATTTTGGTCAGGTCTGAGAGTGGTTTTGATGTTATGAATCCAGAAGTATTTGTGACTTTGTTAAGACCCATCAATTCAATGTAGCTAAGAGCACTTTTGTCTTTATGATTATTAAATGGCAGTGGAAGCCACTGAGAAATGTTAATATTCCTGGAAAATAGGTTATAAATTGCAAAAATATGCTGCTGAAAAATATGGAATGGAAGAATCCAATCATTTAACATTTATACCATTCAGTTTCCTTTTAAGTTCAAGGTAAAATCTCTTTAAGGCAGTGAAGTACTTTCAAAACCCTAATTTCTAAACTTTATAATTTATATGCTTTATAAAGTGTTTTGGAAGTTCTTTTTCTTCTGTTCTGTAGAGATCAGAAGTTCACAAACCACCTGAAAAACACTTGTGTATGTTGTTAAATAATTCATGATATTTAGATTCTTCCCAAGTACAAAGAACTGCAGAAGCTTCTAATAAATTCTCCCTACAGAGTGTGGGAAAAAAAAAAAAAGAAAAATAAGAAAGAAAATGGCCTAGTGCTAATAGAAATACATATCCTTCTGCTGCTCATATCTATATATATCCTATATATTTTTTTTGTATAGGTATCTACAAATAGTGTTTTCCTCTATCTGGACACCTGCTTTTAATAGTTTCATTTTACATCACTGAATAAATACTTTCCTTTTTATTTATTTCTTTCCTTCCTTTCCCTATTGAGTGTCAGTGACATGTAACAAACAGAAATGTTTCACAGACACCATCTCAGTGACTTGCTTTGCATGCAAATGTGTCATTTTGGTTTCAAAATTATAATCCAGCACTATTCTGTGTACTTAAAAAAATGCAGTAGTTGAAATACATTGAAATTCTCTTGTTCCATTGCTTGACAGATATTTCATCAGGCTTTTCTGCACCAAGTTCTTGGTCAAACTACTCTCTCCTTTATACATCTAATACCTCATTGTATTTTTGGATGGATATGACTTAACACTTATAGTTTGTTGAAGAGGGAAATACAGTATTTTCTTCAAGCTACACAGTCTAGACATTTTTATCATTAGCATATTTCATCTTTAAAAAGCCTTTGTTTAGGTAAAGTGGAACTATGTCCAGTCATTATATTACTGAGATATAAATAGACTAAATCTTTTTGTCTCCCTCCCTTACAGTGCTATGCAATAAGTCTACAACTCAACACAATCAGAATCTGAAATATTGTTTCCTAGTTCAATACAGTTTTCATCTACAGTTTTCATCTTTTGTATTCAGCATATGAGTATGACTTCTACAAAATCTTTGCATCAATACTTCCCTTTTAAGAGAAACCTCTGCAATATGATGAGGTAGCGCAGCTAAAAATGTATCATAGTTCTGCATCAAGGTTGATGGAGGATCTTGACTGTAGGGTAGAGAGAAGTGGAAAGATTGACAGTAGAACAAGAGTAGCTTTGAGTAAAGATATTAAGACCCAGTGATATGTGTCTTAATCCTATTAAAACAGGGTTGTATGAACGTAATATTTTGCAGAACAGAAAAAGGGTCTAAAACCTCGCAATAATAGTGACATAACATTTTGTTTTCATCTCTTCTTCATCTGTGATGCTTCTAAACATACCCAAAATATGAATAAACCTGTGAAGGCAAAGTTATTCTAACCACTTTTTCATCATTATTTAAAACTTTTAAAGTGTTTTGTTTTTTCTTTATTTAGTTGAACATTTGTAGCCAGTAACTTAAGCAGACTTTTCTGTCATTACAGAAATATTCACAGAGACATGGGGATTCTTAAGTACCTATATTTCAGTATTAGTATGAGTAAATTAGGTGCTAATGCCAGAAAGCATCACTAGGCAGATAAATTTATATCAGTATATTCTTAAATGCTGCTTTAAATAGGAATAGATTTAAATGCATATCTAAGTTTTTCTTTCTCTGTGTCATAAAAGGTAATGAGAGAATCACACATAATCTGTTTTTACTTCTTTGCCTTTGAAAGTATGTAATATCTACATGTATGACAGGTTTTGAACCTGAGAGGTTTTTGGTGTTTCAATTCAGTGCATTTTTTCTCAGTAATTCTTTATGTCTTTCAGACTTGAATCTCCTACTAGATCTTTGGTGATGGAAGCACCCAGGGGAGTGCAAGTCAGTGCAGCTGCAGGAGACTTAAAGGCTACCTGTAGGAAAGAACTGCATTTACAGTCCACAGAAGGGGAGGTAAGTTCAGCCAGCAGAGAAATGTTCTACAGTTCTGCCCAGCGAAACACAAACAATGTGAGGAACATTTACTGAGCAACAGGGTAAACATCACAAGAAGTGTACTGCATTTGCCTTCATTAAAGTAATTTAGGTTTATCTTGCTCAATTATTAATGCCTACTTCCTTTCTACAAATATTTGAATCACTAAGTTTCATTCACACTGAAAAAAGGTTATTTAAATTAATATAGAACAGAATTATTTTTAATCTAAGATTCAAAGAAAAAGCTACCCAGATCTTCCATGGAGCAGAACCAGCTAAGTGACAGTGGTAAAAAATTAATGTGGATGAATCTGACAAAATAAGAGAGAGAATTTTGGATTAATTTGGATTAATGTGTCATTAAACCTTGATTAAGAGGTTTAACAAATTTGCTCTACCCGTGATTTATCTCCTTAAACTGTTACTATCTCTGTAAGAGAGACAGAGTACTTCAATGGTATGCTCACTGTCCTGTTTCATTACTCTCTTGTTTCAGTGGTCAGTGATCAATGATTGATATAAAAAGATTTTGGTATAGATTCTTCATGTGTAAACCTGACTGAATTCATGAAAATGATTTAAAATTGGATCACTGATGGGTGGCAATCCATGTATTGCAGAAATACATGAAAGTTCTTTTATCTTCAGACCTTAATATGATGTAATATTTAAAAAACAAAACAAAACAAAACTTGTGGAAGGTTATTAAAGGCTCACAGATTTCTATTAGGCACTTTGGAGAAATAGTCAGATTTTCAAATTGTTCTCAGAGAGACTTGCCAGGTTACAGCATTTTTGGAAAACCAGTTGTTTAATGTAAATATCTAATTGGGAATGGAGTTCTTTGGAAATTTTTTGCCTTTTATGTTTGCTTTTTGTATTTTCTACCAAATGTTTCCAGATACTTTACCAACTATCCAAATAAGCAAAACCAAAAACCAGCATTCACATCTGTGACAGTCCCCTGCAATGCATACTCTGGACAACAACACAGACAGGAACATTTTGGCCAATATACTGAACCAAAAGCCTACTTTGATAACATATTTCTATTGATGCAAGTATTTGTCCTGTATAATTAAAACACTATGTTTTCCTAATTCAGAGCCTCAAATACTTATATACCACATGCTGCACCTTATTTCTGAGTTTCTTCAAAAGCCAACTCAACAGCTCTTTCCCCTTCTTTCATCTTTACTTACCCCCTCTGTTACTATTTGTGAACATTGCTGAGATAGAAACAAGGCAATCTAATCCTCTTTTAATAGTAAATATTGTCCTCCCTCACCCTTTTCCTTTCTGTGGGTATTGCAAGGTCTACAGTTTTCTTGTCTCATGAATTCCTATCTGGCCAAATCTAGTATGTTCTCTACATTTATTAACATAAATAATTAAATAATAAAATTAACATACATTTTAAAACTAGAATGTATTTCTTTGTTCTCCATCTTATTGCCAGAGGGAAAAAGTAATACTTGAATGGAAATTAAAATTAAACTGCACCTTATTGGAAAGGTAGTTTTGAAAATAACGTCACATGACCTCAGTTGGACTTTGAGGATGGGAACCCAAGAAAAGGTATAATGACTATATTAAGTGTTATTCAGAACTGAAATTCAATTCTGTATTAAATATTTTGCAGGAGAAAAATGGCAGTTCAAAGCAGACTTTGCTGAACTTCATATTAAAAATCATTATTTTCTCTATGTGCTAAGACTTTGCACATCTGTGATTTCCCACATAGATGAAAGATTTATAATTATTAGAAAACAAACTACCAACCTTTCCCCACTTTTTCCCAAAGAGCTGTTCTGTAAACATACATCTGACAAAGTTCAAAGTCTTGAATACTTGCAATTTCAGTAAGATCTGAATGTAGCCTAAATCCACAGAGAAATTCTATCCTGAGGTCTGACCAATGCCTTTATCTCTGTTTTATCTCTTACACTGGAGAGGGTTAGAGGAAAATGCAGAAACACTTTGGAAGGCATATGATAGGATCCATAGCATCAGCTGTTGTCCTAAGTTACCATGGACACATTAGGGAATTGCTGGACTAATTACAACCTGGTGTGAGGAACCAGGGTAAATATCTGATGGATTAAATGTCTACACAATGAAATATTGATTGTTTTCCTTGCTTACAGCCCACCAGATAAACCACAGGTTAGTAGACTGTATGAAAAAAAACCTACAAAGGGTTTATCATCACTCATTTTTAAGGAAACAAATTCTGAAACAACACAATACCTATGTTAAAAGTAATCTTCATTTTAGCCTAAAAAATGTGTGCTTTATCAGTCATGTTTCTTCCACAAATAAAATAATGTTGTCTTTCTGAATTGGATCTGTGAACCAGTTTTGTGATTACATTTTTGCACTAGAAAAAATGCAAATTTTTCTGTATTATTATCATTCTGGTTAATTTAAATTTATGTTTTTTAATGTTTGTAAGCTTTTTCAAAAACTCACTAAAGAGATGTGAATTAATATTTTCTTACTATAGCAGAGTTATTGCCCTATTATGCCAGAAAATAGCTATATGGCATCTGGAATCAACCAGTTATAGCCATGTGACAGAACATTATTTACTGTCTATGAAACATAGATTTTCCTGTTATTTAGGAATATCTTCAGAATATTTTTAAGAACATAAATGTGTTTATGAAATACTTTTTCTCTAGCTTTATTTCTCATGCAATATAATCTCTAGCCTCCCACATCACAAACTGAATGCCTCTACAAGCATTCTGAATTCTGCTGTTTGATACATTTTCTTTTTGTTTACTGCAGTATTATAATAATCCTTTTAGCCCTATTACGCATTATAATGCGTGATCCCAGACTGAATACTGGAGGCTGTAATTTAGATTCAGATTTTGCTGCCCTTTATAAAGCTCTTGAGCTGCACCCTTGCGAGTCAAGACATCAGCAGAATCCTTTGATTCAATTATAGCTTGGCATTTAATTGTGAACTATGTATTATTCTATAAATAAACTGTAACCAATGGTTTAAAGCAGCAATCATTTACAAGGAACATGAAATGTGAAGCTCCAGGCTCTAGCTGGTTCTACTGGTTCACATAAGAAGAAAAAGAACCCTTCTTGTCTGGAAATTCAGCACAATGACTGCTAGCTGACTACTGCTTCTTTCACGTGAAATCGTAATGCAAAAGTACAGGGCAATTTTGAATTCTGTAGATACTAGAGTTTACTAGACATAAAAAATGTTAGAATTGAACCTGGAACATACTATTGTAAAAAGATAACAAGATGAAAGGATTATTTGATGTTGTCCACTCGTTGGCCTAATAATTGTAATGGTTTTGACCGTACAGAATCACAGAATTGGTCAGGGTGGAAGGTACCACAGTGGTCATCTGGTCCAACCTTCCTGCTCAAGCAGGGTCATCCTAGGGCATATTGCACAGGATTGTGTCCAGATGATTCTTGAATATCTCCAGTGAAGGGGACCCCACAATCTCTCTGGTCAATCTGTTCCAGTGCTTGGTCACCTGCACAGTAAAGTTCTTCCTCATATTCAGGTGGTACTCCCTGTGCATCAGTTTCTGCCCGTTGCCTCTTGTCCTATTGCTTGGTACCACCAAGAAGAGCCTGTCCATTTTCTCAGCACTGTCCCTTCAGATACTTATAGGCATTGATGGTGTCCGCTATCAGTTGTCTCTTCTCAAGGCTGAAGAGGCCCTATTCCCTCAGCCTTTCCTCATAAGAGAGATGCTCCCATCCCTTAATCATCTTTGTTGCCCTCCTCTGGACCTGCTCCAGGAGCTCCATGTCTCTCTTGCTCTGAGAAGCCCAGAACTGGACACAACACTCTGGATGTAGCCTCACCAGGGCTGAGTAGAGGGGTAGGATCATCTCCCTCGACTTGCAGGCAATGTCCTTCCTACTGCACCTCACGATACCCTTGGCCTTCTTGTCCACAAGGGCATACTGCTCACTCATGAACAGGTGGTTGTCCACCAGGACCCCTCAGTCCTTCTCCTCAGAGCTGCTTTCCAGCAGTTCAACCCCCAGCCTGTACTGGTGCATGGGGTTATCCTCACCCAGGTGCAGGACCCTGCATTTGCCTGTGTTGAATTTCAGAGGGTTCTTCTCTGCCCATCTCTCCAACCTGTTGAGGTCCTTCTGGAGGGCTGCGCAGCACTCTGGGGTATTGGCTGCATCAATCTCTGAATCAGAAGGCTGCTAACTGTTTTCAGCTCTTAGGAATCTTGAGCAGCTGCTATGTGCCTTTGCAATGAGCTTCTATGTAGCTATGTAGCTAGGCTCTGCAGTTTCATTGCATCCCATTGACTAACTAAGACAAAGTAATTAAAATGAGAAAGATGTACAGAGGCTTCTCATTTTTACAAATGTATTCATATTAATCACCCTATCTATGACCTTTCTCCAATTTACCTCTTTATGCCCTTGTATTTCCCTGTCAAATTACACTCCATAGCATCATTTGTGGGCTATATTTTGTTGTTTCTGGCATAATGAGGCTGATCCCTCATTAGGGTAAGGCTTATAGCTGTCACATTAAAAATGAGCAATATTCTTTAACAGACAAAGTTTACTCAAAATCAGTGTGGCAGACAAGAGGCCAGGTTTATATTTACCATTTTAGCACAGCACAGTTAATGAAGCACATACAGAGGATTATTTTGTCAAGTCTAACAAATGCATATCATACTAATATTTGATCTATAATCCTATACAGTTCTAAGTCCAGGAGATGTATTTAACACAGAGATTAATAGTTAAAGTTTATTAATACTTAATCAAACTGGAGTAATCTTCACTTGTAAACTCAACTAACAACACCATTTTAAAGCTTTACTTTTGGTGGCATTTTTGTGGATGGTTTTTTTGTTATGAAACAGAAAATAAAAAAAAAAACCAAAAAAAAACAAAAAAACCCAGGATTTTCTTAAATTAGTTAAATACACTGAAATGGAATTTCTTTACCT